CTCATCTAGCGCTCTTTAAGTAAAGGCTAGATTAAAAGTGCATGGTATTGCTACAGCTCCCTTATTCTGGTTTTCAGCAGCAGTTAAGGAACATAAAATGGTTAATATAACAGCTCACATGGAATGTCACTATACAAAAACTAGAACTTATCATGGTTTAAATTCCCAAGCGAACTATGATGCTAAGAATAGAATCACAGTAAGCTAATGTAATGAAAATAAGTTGCTGTTTAGAAACTTAAATCAATCATTGTATTTAGTATATTTCCAATATGCACCTATTGCACAGACACTATGAAAAATGTATAAAAAAGTATCACACCTTTTGTTATACAGCCAAACCTGTATTAGGCTACTGCAACACAAACTCCTCAATTAACCATATTTACACAGCTACATAAAATTGCTTTATGATTTAAGAAAGGGTACAACACACTTTTGTGTTTCCAGTTTTATACAGAAACCCCTTTCCAGATATTTAGGGAGTGGTTTGTTTGCATTTGTAAAGCTTTTTCTCTTCCCGGTGGCATCCTACTGGTTGATGCCACAGTGGAAAACCTGTACTAGTCAAACAAGCTCTGGCCACAGGTCATTCTCAAAATTGGAGAAATATCTAAAGAGACAAGACCACAGGAGACTCAGTCCATTTCCTGAAGGAGTCTCTTGTCTCAGTAACAATTCTTTACCCATTCTGGTTTTGTTTATTATTGATTTGAACAGGGCATTATAATAAGTTTAGTCACTTTTAATTTAGAAAGATCTAACCAAGTGCATTTTCATACACTGAAATGTATTTTCTAACCAGCCAGATGTGTACAAAATATTCCTCTTCCACTATTCATCACAACCCTTCAGTTTTGTGCAGTTATATTACAGCCAGATATATTGAGAAACTACTCAATTATAACTAAGGCTGCTTCTTGACAATATCTCGACGTTATACAGAAGGATAATTTTAAGGAAGTTCGGTACTGAATACCCATGGTGTAAATAGTTAAAATAGAAAGCTGCCAGCTTTGTTTTTAGCTCATTTGGTTATTTTTACAGCTGCAAACTCATACTACAAGCACTTCCTAGCACATCAGTAATCCTTGACAGTTCAAAAAAGCATCTGTCCATTAAAATGATCAAATGTAATATGTTTAGGAAATCTGCTTGCCAATAGTGATGTGAAGGACAAGTCGACAGGATAGTCATCTAGTTGCTTCCCTCCCCCCTTGCTGCCTCTATCAGATAGAGGCAGCAATGGGGGAAGGGAGAAGATGGGTTATGTCAAAGCGGCAGTGCCTGGGGTCAGACCCTGGACTCTACTCAGGGCTGCTGCTTTGAAAAGCTACGTGCAGCCTGGAGTCAGCTGGGGTGTCCCCACGCTGCACGCAGAGTTTCAGAGCGGCAGTGCCACATGGAGCCAGGGATCAACTGGGGACTGACCCCAGGCTCCGTGCGGCGCTTTCGCCTTTGAAGTGTAGCAACAGCCACGCAAGCCTCATTGCAACTAAAGTAAACATTAATATAAACCATCAGGTTGCCAGGATTCATAAAAGGACGCACAGTTACAAATACCAGTGTTGGACTTTCAATTGGCCATCCAAGAGTAAGATGTATGACTAGCTTTTCAGTTTCTGTGTCTGGCATTCTTATATTTTAATCTTTCAAAATGTAAGTTTTACAAAAATGTCATCCAATTAATTTCAAATAAGTGGAATAAAATTAAGAATTTTGCTTTTTAATTAACCAGATTTGTTTACTTCACTGTACTGTAAACATGAGCTAAATATAAAAGCAATGATGCAACTTTCAGGCCAGTAGTTTGGAATGGATATAAACTGAGTTGATCTTTTTTTGACTCCAGTTTTGCTATGCTTAATAAATGGCGTTACAGCCATGTGTGTGCAGCACAACAATGACACCCAGAGGCCAGGCAATGTAACCAGAGCTCCTTTTCCTCAGAGTGGCAGTTTGAATTTGGATCAGCTCTCAATGAAATTTTATCTTTGCAAAAGTAAATTCTCAGAAGGTATCATTTAATACTTAGTGTTTTAACCAGATCCTTGTTTCTTTAGAAATTCTTTGGCAATCCTTTTGAGCATTAATACAGACAATTCAAGCAGATATTCTGTATATTAATGCACACCATTTCATTGCATATAGTATTTACTTGTCCCCATGTAAAGCATTTAGTGAAGAACCACCAACAAGCCACAACAGCGCAGCACAAGAGGCTTGATATTTATAAATTGGGGCCTTTTAGGCCTCTTTGCTAGCCTAAGTGGCTTTACTCTGCAATCATGGTCAAAACAAAGACTTATGTTACGTTTTCTACTTGTGAGTACTGTATCCAGTTCAAAACCAACAGCTTACTTTATTAAAAATTTTACCATTTTATAAAAGACATGTTTAATTATGATGGAGATGGCTGTATTGTAATTAATATTTTGAGATAATTGTGATATTGAGCTTAAATTATATACAAAAAAAGTCATTTTTGTATGTGTTAAAAAGATTGCTATATTACAGATGACTGACTGTACTTTTCAGTTTAATTACAGTATTGATGTAAATAAAGCTGAATGAAGAAATATTTACTACTTTATTAACATAGATTGTGAATGTATTTAATGTTTTTGCAGTATAAAGACTTACTGAACTTGAAAGCTGCTTCATTTTATGTGCAAAAAGGTACTTAAACTATATTTTAAATCTATTGATTCAGTGAAATCAATTATCTTGTTAGTTAATTTGCACATGCAAGTTGTATCCTTCCAGTTTTATTTTATGTATTGACACTAATTGGTAAGGTGCATATTGTGTTTAGAATGCATTTTGCAGATGCTTTCTGTACATAAAAAAAATACAGGGACTAAAACAATGCTGTGCAGTGTATAGCAGAGCCATTTTTCGGCTTTGGTGTACCAACTTTTTCAGTATTTAAAAAGTGTTTTGAATAACATTTAAAAAAGTCTCTTTATTGTACAAATAATAAAAATGTCACCTTATTGTAACTATTTTTGTCATATTTTTGTCATCTTTTGTTATAAGAAGGGATATCAGTTATCAAAAAATCATTAATTTTACTGCTGTGTCCTGTGGCTTCTAGGAAGAGCTGTTGATCTCTGTCTAGTCCCTTTTAAACTGTTGTTTAATATGCTGTTTGATTTAATAAGGCAAACTAGTGAAGATAATGAAGCTATCAAAAGTTTCACTAAATACAGGCGATATATTTAGTGAATAATGGTTGAGAGTCTGCCATTAGTTTTAATTGCTGTAGTTAGTTTAAAATTTTCAGAATAAAAAATAAAAAAACCAAACCCATGCCTTTTACTCCCCTCATACAACATCTGTTTGAGTATTCTTCTGTGAGGCATAATACAGTAGCACCTCAGAGTTATGAGCTACCCATCAACCACTACCTCATATGGAACCGGAACTATGCAAAGCAGCACAACACAACACAGAAAGCAAATAAATACAGTACAATACTGTGTTAAAATGTAAACTATTACCAAAATTAAGGAAAAATTTTGAAAAAGATTGACAGGGTAAAGAAAATGCTTGTGCTTTTTTCATTTAACAGCATTTTTCTTCTATAAAGTTTCAAAGCAGTATTAAATCAATGATTAGTTATAAACTTTTGAAAGAACCATAATGTTTTGTTCAGAGTTATGAATATTTCAATTATGCACAATCTCCATTTCCAAGATGTTCATAACTGTGAAATTCTACTGTAGAATTATTGCAACTGTCTGAAGAAAAGCTACCGCACCTGCATATCTAGAATTCAGTGTCTATACAGAATGTGCTTTGTATGAAGACAGCTCAGTGTTAAGTGTCTCAATTTAAATGTTAGACTTGAAACAGCTGTAGAATACTGGGTGCCTACCATTCATTCAAATACAAATGTGGCAACTTTGACCTTCAACCATTATCTTTCCTACATAGATACAATGCCATTTATTGTTATGGTTTTTTGTGGGGGCGGGCAGAGGGCTGATTGTGATAAGGTCTTAAAACTAACTTACCTGCTCAATGCCCAACCTCCTTCTCCTCTCCTATTGCAAGCCAGTGCTATGTACCAGATGGTTGCTGTCCTCTCTCTCCAGCATTTCAGCACTGCTGCATGTATAGCGTGTTGTAATTGTTTATGAGGAAAGGTGCTCATTCAATTTAAAACATTAGGGACGGACAGATTTATTTTGTCTTAATTTTGGACCCACTCAGCCATCATTGATTTAAAAGTTTAATGGGAATAGTATTTAGTTTTGATGTGGCATAGAAGAGATGGGTCCAATGTGTTGAATGAAAGCATAGTTTATACACACCATATATAATATCCACAGGATGTGCTCTTTGGTTGTCTTCTACTGGCATGAGGAGGGTGAATGTGGGAGAGAGGTGGCTTTTCTATGCCTAATAATTAGCACAGGATTCTCTTTAGCTACAAGACCTCCTTTTAAATTCAAGTGCAGAGACAGGAGGGGAAATGGGTTACAATTAGAAGAAAAAGGCTCAGAAAAATTATTTTTGCAAGCCAAAGGTAGGTAGAGATGTTCACCCATTCCTAATGTAAGTTATGTAGTTTAGTCTGTAAGAATTAAGAGCCATCCGACCTCCAGACCAAAGTGAATTCCCTGAAAAATATGGCCTTAGAAATCGGGCAGCTTACAGTGTTCAATACAATTTGGAAGTGTTCAAAGAACAACAGTTAATGCAAACCACCATGGGATCAATTTTGTTTGGCTACAATTTGTTGCATGTAAAAACCTAGTAAAGAGCACTGTATAAACATTTGCATTGCAGTTCACTTCTAATACACTCTTCCCTCTTCACATTTATCATATGCATATTATGTTATTTCAAGGATGAATAATCACATTTGTATGTAATTTAACATGCATATATAAAAGTTACTGGGCTAGAGATTTTGATGGTGGTATATTAAACTAAACAAAGGTAATGGTCCACACCAACAGGAAACATTTATTCATTACTAGGAAAACAAGTATAATTCAATCATTTTTTATTGTAAATACATTCTTCATACCTTTTGTAGTACAGTTCATACTGTATCTTTGCCTACTGTTGAATGCCTGAAACTTTGAATTACATAGCAACGCTATAATGATAATGGTAAACAGTGTGAAACACTTACCTATTTGATTAAAGGTCACCTGCTGTAAAGCATTTGTGGTTCAACAGCTATGTACAATATAAACCTAAGAAAATCAGAAGGTTTACTTTTTAAATTTTATGCAATTTTTATTCCTTAAAATTAATTCAGGTTTTTAAAAACATTGAATTGTAGACAAAAATTCTCATTCTTAGTGGTAGTATCTAATGAAATCACTGCATTACAAACAACAATAGCACTTTCAATTGAAATGTTGATCTGTGCAACTCTGGAAGAATATCTGAGATTCCATGGATGGGCATTTGCTTTTTCAAACATGCCAAGTAAATGCAGCATTATAAAAGTTCACAGCCAGCTTAATCAACAGTTCACAAACTGGCAGGAACTCAGTTTGAATGGTGTACAGCCTTTGGCTTTCTGATGGCAAAAATTCTTGCTTGTACTTTGATCCATAAGCCTAACAAAAGAATAAGCATATTCTTATCAAGTGGGAATTCGACTTCTTAGGTATTCTAGAACAGCGGCTGTTCCTTTTGCCAAAATGGCTGCTCGAGGAGTGCGGAATGGATTTCCTTCTAGCAGAAGTGTCCTGGAGAAGTACAGAAATAAAAATTATTACTGAGAGTGCTTGTGCCTGCACATTCATACAACTTGCACACTTATGACTCTTTAGGAAAAATAATCCCACCTAAAGCTAAAATAGAGTACCAGAGATATGTAATGTAATATTACTATTACATATTGGCCTAATTCAAGTGCTAATAACATGCCAACAAATATGTAGTGACAGACAGTTTTATGTATATATAAAATAAAGTAAAACCCCTGGCCACTGGACAGAGTGGGGGAAAATCAGTAGGAATAACTAGTTGTAGCACTCAGCAACTGGCAAACAGCAATGTTGCCTTTCCCCTACTCAGTTGTTATGAATGTACTCTCTGGGTATTGTCTACACTGCCACCCTAGTTCGAACTAGGGTGGCTAATGTAGGCATTCGAAGTTGCAAATGAAGCCCGGGATTTAAATATCCCGGGCTTCATTTGCATCTTGCTGGGCGCCGCCATTTTTAAATCCCCATTAGTGCGAACTCCGTGCCCGCGACTACACGCGGCACGGAGTAGGTAGTTCGAATTAGGCTCTCTAATTCGAACTACCGGTACACCTCGTTACACGAGGAGTAACGGTAGTTCGAATTAGAGAGGCTAATTCGAACTACCTACTCCGTGCCGCGTGTAGCCGCGGGCACGGAGTCCGCACTAACGGGGATTTAAAAATGGCGGCACCCGGCAAGATGCAAATGAAGCCTGGGATATTTAAATCCCGGGCTTCATTTGCAACTTCGAATGCCTACATTAGGCACCCTAGTTCGAACTAGGGTGGCAGTGTAGACATACCCTCAGATAAACACTAGTCACTTATCCTTTAAGTCCTGTCACTAGAGCACATTCCCGTACGTTCCCCTCAAGTAGGGGTGTTAAATGCTTACCGGTTAACCATGAGGCTTATCTGTATGCTTCCCAGTTAACCAGCCCTTGCCAGTTAACTTGACAGGTGGTAACTGTGGCAGGGTGACTTAGTACCTCTTCTCAAGCTAAATCAGTGGTTTAGCAGGTGGTCTTCACTTATGCTACTACAGTAAAAGAACAACTGCCGCTATTTCTTTGGAAAAAGCAGTGCCAGGGTTCAAAAACTGACTATTTTAAACTATGTTCAACTACAACTTGGCAAACAAGCTATTTGTCCTCTTGAGACTTCCATTTCATTCACAAAACTGGTTGATATTGGTAAAGCCAGTGTTCGTGACTGCTCTTCAGTCTGACAAAGTTATTTGTCCCTATGTGACTTCAAAACTTTAAATTTAAAAATTAAATTTAGTGAATTGCAAGGAACACAGCAATTGCCAGACCAGTAATCCATTTAGTCTAGTATCTTGTCTTTGTCAACAACATTAACAACACAGTGATGAAATGACCAACCCCGAAGGCAAGATTCTATCCAAACTCTTTCATTTAAGAGTGGAATTATTCCCTGAAGCGTGAGAGTTTATATTTTTACAATTGTTACCTACTGACAAGGGAGCTTCTGCACTCACCTGGCATTGAGGAGACACAAGGTCTCCCACAATCTGGCATGTGCTCTCCATCCCAGATGAGTGTTCTAAACACTGGCCTCTCAGTCTCACTTTCTTGCTTCCCATTACTTGGGCCTAAGAAATCTTCCCAATGAAAATTTCACTAAAACCATCCTTTCCCATGAAACTAAAAAGTTTTTCAGCTAATTGGCATTTTCTGACAAAAACTGTTTTGTAGAAACATTACTGACCAGCACTAGTCTATACACACATTTCCTTTTAGCAATTTAAATGTTAACTTCCTCATCAACCCTTCCCCAATCTTGTAGTATGGAAAAAAAATTATAAATAGTTGTGCACCTTCTCCATAACAATAATTTTTTACTTAAAAAAAAACACCCTCTTCTCTAACCCAGAACAATTCCAAACCTTTCATTCTATCCTCATGAGGAAGTCTTGTTATGCCTCTAATAATTTGCAGTTCCCATCCCTGAACCACTCGGCTTTTGCATAAACACTGAAACAAAGCAAACAGGACTGAACAGGTGAGGATCTAAAATTAATTTATAAAGTGACCAGACAGTTTTTCAGAGTTATTTTCTATTGCATTATTTATGCACCCTAACATTTTGCTTTTTTTCCTATGTAAACACTGTTGAAGCCCACCGAGTAGAGATATTCATGGAGCTTACACAACTATACTCTCGTGAATATCCAAAGTTATGTAGGACCTATCAATGTAGCTAAGGAGTTCAATTATTTCTTCCAGTGTGGATTATCATGAAGATGTGAACACTGTATTCATCTGCCATAGTAACGCCCATTAACTTTTTTATGAATGAATTAATTCATTGGCTTTTTCAGTCATTTATCATAAATACTGTGCCCATTGCAAACGATGTCACTTTACTCACCTCCCCCCCCCTTCATGATCAATACATTAAATACCAATCCTAATATAGAATCTTAGCGCATCCTTTGTTAAATGATTAATAGCTATGTGAAAAATGTCAATAAATGGAGCACAATACAAGAGACTGAAGACAACCTTCCGTTATGAACAATCCTTGAAATAAGTAATGATAAAGCAAGTTAAGAGCAGACCAGAAGCTTAATTCAAAATTTTCCTACTGTTGTAGGTTTATTTAAGTTGGACTCTCAAGTTTGATGCCCAAGGCCAAACTCCACATTCAGGTATCCCCTATGTAAAATAAGCTAGCCTTTAGTGCTGAACAGAATGTTTATGTTACGGTTTCTATTTAGTAAATAGATAAATAAAATAATGAACCAAACATTTCCTTTATTCTCAACTAGTCTTGGGAAACTATGTAGAAGATTGCAGCTGCTTTGTAGACATCTGGCATTTTATGAATCTTGAGCAACACACAAGTACACTGTTACTCTATCATTTTCCTTATGATTACAAAAAGGTCTACAGAACAGTTATCAAAACCAAGATGTGCTTTAGTATAAAGCAACTAGAAGATTTACCAGCATTGCTCAGGTCCTTAACTCAAATAAGTTTTGTTCTTCATTTAAATCATTGTTCTGGAATGGGGCTGGGAATAAGGAGGTCAGTATGCAAGCTGCCCTAAAGAGACAGAACAACCCCAGCCTTCTCTCACCATAGCAGCTTAGGACCAGGTGAAAAGCACCTGTCCATGGCTACTGCAGTTGCAGTATGCACAACTAGGGGAGGGGTGCATGTCCCTCAGCTGAGGAACACACATACACAAACTCTCAGAAATATGTAGTGGTCCCTTTTTCCACCCCGGGCCCTGCTGGCCCAATGGGATTATAGCTGTCCTGGTCCCCATCTGTGGCCCCTTGCTGTCCCGCTGTGGTCATTCTACAGTGTAACTCCCTCCTACAAGATCCCCTCCCTTTCCATTTTATGAAAAACAATTGAATTCCAGGCACATCCCACTATCTTGGCAGAACCAAACCCTTACCTTGGTTTAAATTATGAGAAGAAGCTGCATCCAGGTTGCCATTTTGGGAGAGCAGGGGGAGCAGCAGCTGTGCATACTGAGATGTAGATTGCTTTTCTTCCCATTCCCCTGATGATACGTGAGTGGGGGAAAGAACTTGGATTCCATGAATTACTCTTTTGCCCCCTCCCTTCACCAGCCAGGAGTGAGAAGCATACACGGAATCCAAGTACTTTCCCCTTGCTTCCTCACCATCAGGGGAATGGGAAGAAAAGTAAGTCACATCCCAGTACAAACAGCTGTTTGGCCCCCCGCCAGTCTCTCAAAATGGCACCCATGAACTGCATACCAAATTTGGTAATCCTAGCTCTTTCCGTTCAGAAGTTCTTGAACAAACAGACTCACAGATGGACAGACAGACACACATTTTTAAACTATATAGTACGATAAGTCACCTAAGAGTTATACAGTTTCCAAGTTCTGGTGGCACTTGAAGAAGGTCATTATTCTGAAGATCTAAGGTGCCAAGTCTGTCCATTTTCCTTATTTGCAGAGGGTCTATGGATCCAACCAAATTGTTACTGAGCAGGATAGTTTCAAGTGTTGGGATGCGATAAAGAATGTTTGGAAATATTTTAAACCTACCAAAAATGAAAAATTCATTTAAGGAATCAAATCAGAAAGACAGACATACAAAACAAGTAATAAAATAGCTAATAGTGAGGTGAAAAACTAGATACTGAATAAGTGAGTTTGACTAATAATGATAATAACTTCCTAACAATATCCATTTTTGGGAGGATATAAATAATATTGATTAGCCTAGTTCACAAACAGAAAAGTAGAATGTAATTTGTATGGCGTCTGCTCAATGCTTATGTTAACAGAATAAAAGACAAGCAGCACTCATTTTGTAAAACTGAGGGTTGCGGTGATGTCAGCTGGATATATTCCTCCAATAGTCTAAGCCCATGGTCACCAACCAGTTGATCGCGATCAACTGGTCGATCGCGAGGCCTCGACCATTCGCTCGCGGGGCGTTCGGGCACTCCCACCCCACATTTTCGCCCCACCCCCGAGAAGCCCCACTATCTACCTCTAGTGTAGTGCTGGCTTTCCGTGGGGTGGAAGGAAGCCCTGGGTGAAGCCTGCGTCACTTCCACGGGCTCTGGAAGTGCGCAGGCTGCTCCCCTCCCACAGCTCTGTCACGTGCTAGGGGTGGGGGTGTTGGCTCCAGAAGAGGAGTCCAGCGGCTTCTCTGGGAGGGTTGAGTTGAGTGCAGGAATTTCCCTGCACCACGGGAGCAGGGGTCGGCCCCGGGGTTTGGCCTGGGGAGGCTCCCACAGGGGTTTGCCCACGCGGCAGGAGAAGTGGCCTGGTCCCATGGAAGGCGCTTGCGGGGGGTTGGCCCCGCTGCGAGGGGGAGGAGAAAGGGAGGGGGCTGGTTTGGCCAGGCCGCACCGCGGGAGGGGGGTTTGGCTCCAGGGCAGGCGCCTGCGGGGGTTGGCTGCGCTGCAGGAGGGGAAGGGTTGGCCGGGCCGGGCTGCACTGTGGGAGGGGGGTTTGGCCCCGGGGCAGGCACCCGCGGGGGTTTGGCCCCGCCATGGGAGAGGGGGTTTGGCCCTGGGGAGGGAGGAGTTGGGCCCAGAGGAGGCTGCCCTCAGGGGCAGGGGGAGAATCCTGGGAGGCGGCAGATGCAGGGGACTCTCTGCTG